AGGCGCCCAGGACATGAGACTATGGCGCAGCAGTAGCAGCAGTGGGTAGACCATCTGTCAGGATCTAGCCACCACCAGCCTCAGCGCACCAGATATATATATATATATATATATATATATATATATATATATATATATATATATATATATATATATATATATATATATATATATATATATATATATATATATATGAAGTTGGATCGAAGTACAACATAAAGTAAACGGCTTTTTCGGTTTAACACACGCCTCTTCGGAATTTTTTTGTGTTTTGGAGTCTTATGTTCCATGAGACGTTAACTAATAGTTAACACGGTCGAACAGCACTGTTTCCGAAATGACCAGTCGTCGTGCAGGCGTTTCCTCATCAGCTGTGGTGTCATCCTCAGTGCCACTAATTAGCATGCAGGTCGTTGAGTGCGTCGTCGATCCAACAGTGCAGTTAACAAATAGGATGAATAAGACACTAAAACGGATTGGTAATCTGAATCAACCCACAAAGGAGGAACACGACAGAACGAAGGCTCGTGCCTCAAACATCACACAGTTTTACGGCCTTCCGAAGGTACACAAGGGTGGTGCCCCACTACGGCCCATCGTGTCCCTCCCTGGTACACCCACATACAACTTAGCTAAAGAATTGTGGAGACGCCTTTAACATCTGATTAATGGATCGCCGTATTCGATAAACAATGGGCAACAATTTTTAGAGAAGCTTAAAGGACTACGAATCGGTCATGAGGAAGTGATGGTGTCGTTCGCCGTTACCGCACTGCTCACCTCTGTCAACTTACAAGTGGCGAAAGAAAACATCACAGAACGCCTGGATGACAGCGGACGAATAATTGGGAATTTGACAAGTAATAGTGTATGCAAGCTTCTCAACTTGTGCCTCAGAACCTATTTTAACTTCAATGAAGTGTTCCATGAACAAGTGAAATGCGCCCCAATGGGATCCCCTATATCTGGGCTCATCGCAGAGGTCATGCAATAGTTAGAAGAGAACCTGCTCCTAATTATCAGCCCGAAATGATGGGTCCGATATTTTGATGACATTTTCGTGATACTCAAACGCGGTCAGCTATAGACCGTGACCTACTTGCTGAACAATGCAATGGACGGCGTTCGCTTCACCATGGAGTCAGAAATGGAAAAGCAACAATCTTTCTTGGACGTGCTTATTACCAAAACAATAGACGGAGAAATACGAATATCAGTTTACAGGAAGGGTACCGACACTGACCAAATCCTAAATTTTAACAGCAGTCATCCAAATTGTCGCAAAATAAGCTGCATACGGACCCTATTTCGCAGGATTGAGTCACACTGCAATACTGTAGAAGCAAAGCGAGAGGAAGAGAAACATCTGTTTACATCCTTCATGCGCAATGGATACCCGCGCAGTTTCATCCGAAGACACTTGAACTACATGGCTAAAAATATCACGCCTGCACCAATAACGAAGCAACGGGTTGCTTTGCCTTATGTCAAAAACGTATCAGAAATGACAACCAGATTTCTTAAACCGTATCATATGATGGTTGCCCACAATCCGGCCGCCACACTTAAGGGGACCTTGTCTAGACCGAAAAATAAATTGAAGATACACGAACGCAGTAATGTTGTTTACAGCATACAATCCAAACACTTCGAGACGAACTATGTGGGCCAAACAGGCAGGAAATTGGTTACAAGAATACAAGAGCACAATCGAGCTTGTCATAACCACTACGCATAATCTCTGGTCTCGGCACATGTTGATGAGGAGGGGCAGAGGTTTGATTGAGACAAAACCGAAATTCTCGCACGGGGAGAAACGAGAAAAAGCAGGGAATTCTTTGAAGCGTGGTTTACTACAGAACACTCCATAAACCTGTGCATAGACCTAGACCCGGTGTACCAACCATGGAGAAAAAATAGAAATCGAGCGGGTCAGAAATCCTAACATAAGGCAGGAAGCAACGGCAACCGAACAGCAAGCCGTCGTAGGTCACATGATATGAAGCGACGAGGCCAATTGCAAACGTCACTTGCCCATCGTTCAAGAGCTGACGACAACCAGAATTCACGACCAGAGCGAAGGCTTGCTTTCAGCTGTTGCGTAATAGACCGGCGGTGTTCGTTGTGCTCTGCGCCAGCAGGCACCGCCCGTCGGCGATCCAGCAATTCCAAAGATCTTCCCGAGATCCAGCTTTTGGGAGTGAAGCGATCGAGACCGCAGCTGGACAAACCGGCCGACAGCATGGCTTGTTGCAGACTTGAACAGTGTTGATCAACATCCAGCGTGAGAGAGAGCGAGATTTTCACGAAGCCTTTGTTGATACTCCTTTTTCGCCAATGGGTCCTCCAGCTTGTAGGTGTTCAGTCGGGCGTGTTTGGACCTAGGTGAACCACCGAAACGCATGCAAACGGTTGCACATACCTGTGCATGATCGGTATCCACGCACGTTGACCTAAATGATGCGCAGTCACGTACGCTGCCGCGCCACCTGTGACTTATGGCTATGTGGTCAATCTGTGCTAAGCGTTGGCTTGATGATGGGGGCGCCAAGTGGCATACTGGCGTCCAGGATGACGAAAGCTAGTGCTGGAGAGGAAAAGCTGATGATCGGCACACAAAGCAGTCTCTCTCCGTTGTCTGAGCTCAGATCATCATATCCATGCGGTCCCCCGAGGTGGCGCTCACATGGCAGCAGCCCGACCGACACGCGCGTTGAAGTCTCCTGCCAATACAATAATGTCTGTTTTAGGAGCTCTTAGGAGCAGCTTATGAAGTTTCTGGTCCTTGACTGTGTCCGACCTACTGTTGGGCGCGTAGGCAGAGCTCACGAAGGAAGCACGCTTTTCGACTCGACGTCTGCTAACGTTAAAAGAGCCATGGAGTCTTATCTTACAAAGATGACTATTAATCGGAATGCAATCAATCAGAGCAGCCTCGGCTCTTCTATTGAAGGCAATTTCAACACCAGCTTGCTCAGATGCGGCAGACTCGGCGTCACTAGAGATAGACGGAGATGGAAGCGGGTGCGTGGGTGGAGCGGTGACGCCAGCTAGTAGACCGAGTTGGAGTCCTGGAGTCGCATTTAATTATGGCAGCAGAAATCAATTCCAAGTGTCCCTAACCTGCGAGCAAGTCCAGCTTGCTGACCGATCTGCAGTAGTGTGCGTACGTCGAAGGCTGCTGGTTTGAACTGCCTTCCGGGTTGCAGGAGCGAAGATGGGAGATTTCGAGGCTGATAGCTCTTTGTTGAGCGTTGTGTGGTTTAGTTGAGAACAGGTTCCTCGGTGGAGGTGGGGTTGATCGCTGTGGAAAAATCAGATAAAAATGGGTGTGAATGGTTCAAGGTAAGGGTAAGTAAAGTGTTGGCGTGTGCCTGTGAAGTTAGTATAGTAGCATGGGTGAATAGCATCGTAGCAGCAAGAGAGCGTGTGAATGGTTGTAGGTGTAATTCCATGGTTCGTATGTAAGCGAGATACTGCCCAGTTAGCTAGGCCCAGGAAGGTAGATTGTCTTAGGGGACCACCCCCCGAGCCTTTGGCCAGAGCTTAACTCACAAGACTGCAGGACGAGATTAGCGATTCGCACCCGTTGGCAGCCGGTGACTGGACACTCAGTTCGTACGGCTTTCGGATGAAGATAAGCCATCCCGAAGTCAGAGACAAGATCCGATGCTCGGATTGCTTGCCGGTGTACAATGTCTCCAAAGAAAACAGGGGGCAGGGACTTTATTTAGTGGCGAGTCACATCCGCCACGTAGCAGTGTTGTTAAACGGACATTTGTGGTTTTTATAGGGAGAACGCTTGCCAGGCGAAAACACACCACATCCTGCAACACTGCCGCCGAACCATTCACCGGAACGGGAAATTCCCGAACCGCCCAGCTGGCACTACGAGGAGGTTGTTCGGCGAGCCAGCCAGAGAGCCGGTACAGTGCTCAGTTATCCGTGTCAACGCACACCTGGCAGTATGTCCGGGTTGCTTAGCACTTCAAGTGCAAGTGAATTGATATACCACGCACAATTCGGAATTGGCCGGTAACCTGTCTTTAAGGCGCTGAGCAATAAATGCAGTGTTCTCGCAAGAACGTGTGGATTTTCGGCTGGGTATTTTCTTATCACTGCGGTTGAAATCCTTCTATTCAGTAGGTCGAAAGCGATGTCACCCTTAAATGGAACCGTGAGAAATACAACCTTTTTGGAAGTGTGATGACAGGCTCACTGCGTTCCCGAATTATAGCGAGCTATTTTGATAAATGAGACTGGGTGGTCGTTTGAAAACAACGTTGTAAATGTGGGTCCTCGTCTCCTAGCGTCTGCGGACTGCAGATTTTAGAGGCTTAGCAAAAAATGCAGCGAACTAAGTTACGTTTATGTTTCCGAGGCACGAAACTCAGAAAATGCATGTATTGTCTTATTCATGGATCCCTTCAGAAATCGCTTCTCTCAAGAGATCCGTCTTCCAATCCCATCAGTAGTACGTCAATTTCGATTTCTTTGGTGAACCTCAGTGATGAGTGTTCACCGTTGAGTTGGTCGAGTAACCCAAGGATATAAGCGCTCGAACCACAGATAAAAAACTTGTCATCCGTATACCTGCGGCAGAAATTCAGTGAAGCAATAACAGGTTGGATAGGATTACGGTCAAGCTTTGTGTTCTTTTCACACTCTTTAGCTTCTTGTTTCCGTACTGCGTTTACAGAGCTTTAGTTACGCCATCATTTATGCTTGCTTATGGTATTTAGATCTCACTGCCACTCCACGTACCTCTTGTATTTTTCATTATTTGCGTAATTACTGTTTTATGGTAGCTTAGCATTCGCACAAAGTTGCTGATTTGCCGCAATTCATGGTTATATTTATAAACGTCATTCCGCTTGATCATTATTTGTGCTGCGGATACCGTCTTCGTCTTTGGTATTTCGCATACTTGTTTTTTCATCTGTGGGCTGAATCTTTCATTTATCCGATCTTTGTCTTTCCACTCCCTTTCTTCCAATCAGGGATTGCAATTCTGGATGGTGAATGACATCTGTTTTGGCGCCCAACGAATTCGTGGATGTAACCCCTTCGTAATTGAACTTTGTCGGGAGTTACCATCAAGGTAAGCTATCTGTTTTAATATTATATTAATCAACACCTGACCAGTATACAATTGGCAGTGCCACAACACATGTTAACAACAATACCAAAAAGGGGAAAACATTTAGACAGTGGAAGGTTTACAAGGTTAATGTCTTGTGCGGGCAGAGATCTTCCTAGTTCCCCAGGTCGAGGAAGAGGGTTGACTTAAGGGACCCCACCTCTGGCCTTTGGTCATAAAGACCTGATAAGCTATCGGTGATCCAATTTCTATCAGAACACTCTTTTTTATCCTAACCCTTTTAGTCAGTCACCGTAAGTCGGCACATTGTGTTGTTCTACGCAGTTAGAAGTTATGAGAGATTGCTCTACCTAGAATGAACAAGAGGAGATATTGGCGACATAATGCAAGTGTTAAATGCGACGTGCTGGCATTCGGAGTCACCTACTTGTACTTTGTGAACTCCTCACGGTTACAAACAGCTTACTAATGCGAGAGCATCGTGCGGAATCGGTTACACTGCTTCTTTCTTGCTGCCCCATGTCGTAAACGATCTTGCTCTGTGCTATCCACACGCTGAGCAAGTAGCGTGACTACGACAGCATGCAGTACGCTATTGCCGGTTGCATGCCACATCCCATGATCTAAGCGTATGGTGGACTGCAGCGCAGGGTGTAACAGCTCTCATTCTTGTCATTTCTCAATGGGCCCCGTTTTCATTATCCTGACTCAGATTGTACCGTCGTGTTATTGAGTACAGCCTCCTTTCGATTTTCACGGTGTTTACCTAATCAGGAACTTGGTATCTCAATTCATACAAAAGCTGGTAGTTGGTTAACTTTCAGCATCCCCATTTTCTGTTATGAAAACTTGGTTACTTTCTTTGTTTCTGATCTGTATACCAATCTGCCGCAATACTGCAGCCCCATCCCTCCAAGTGAAGTGATGATAGATCCTGTCCCTTCCTCTCTTGTTGCATGCTCAGTTAGTTTTAGTTTCCACTCAATCTCTACCCTTCACTGGCTTCCGCTCCAATCTCACGGTGATGTCCTGGAGAAGCAAACTTTCTTCATAAAGAGCGCAGTGGGTGTGCGTGACGCGTTCCTATACCATCACTTGCTTAATATTGCATTTATTTCACCGCCACCTTGTTATTGTACGAGCATTTTGAATTTTACTTTGTCTTTCTGCTTAATTGTTTCCGCTAATTAAACTATGGTTTGAAATCTGGGGCTCCCATGTTCTTCATTATCGAAGACTGTCAGCCTCGTTTTTGTTCGATGGCGAGTGTCTCACTTCATCTTCTTGCATGCACATCTTCAAGCATTGTATGTCGGGAACCACCAAGTGTTTTTGCCGCTTTCGCATTTCTACGGGTATCTTTTATCCGAACTACTCGTCTCTCTTGACATAGGAACTAACAGGATGTTTCAATCTACTGTTGACATTTTATCATTTGAGAGAATCGGGCCTATGTGCGCCAGATCTATGTCCCCACTCTATGTTCGAATGCGCTTAGTACTGGCCTGTGTATGTACTAATTCCTGCATGAAACACAGTTTCTGTTTGCTAGAGGTGGTGTTATGCCTGGCGTTTTCCTCAATGACTAGAAAGTTAAAAACAAACAGAAACAAACGATCAATCTAACTTTGCTGTACGTTTTGTCATCTATCACACAACCATTTCCACCCTTTACCGTTTTAGCTTTCAGTCAGTCGGCGATTCGCTCAAGCCCTATTTGGAAGGGTGGACACTTCGGCAACTGGTCTCAGCGAATCGACTCTATCTATTAGACTACAGTATTATGCGGGGACTGAGTTGCAAACGTGACCGAACTTTGTGCGCCCCCTTGGTTCTTCTGTTACATACGGAAAAGCGGCAGTTGAAACCCATCGCCATTCAGTTGGACCAAGACCCAGATACCACCCATTCTGTGCGTAGTTTCTGCCCGTCTTCATCCTTTTTCGTTTATCCTTGACGGTGTGACGACTTCTTGGTTAACCCGAGGGCTTTTTCTTTGGATTTTACGCGAAAAGGCACTGCGTATATTTCGCACACCCCATCCGTTTTATGCAGCAGTCTTTTGTATTTATACACGTGTTGTTTTCCCTGCTTTTTCTCCTCTCCAATCCCATTAGTTGCCTGCGATGGGATACTGTTGGCCTTGTCACTGCCTCAAATTTGACCGATCGGTCACTTTCATACCGCCAGTTTTGTGTGTCAGGCGCAATAGTTCTACCATTTCTTTTGACTGACCTATCGCGGCGGTCCTTCACGTGCCGTCATTTTTCCGTTGCTAGGATTTACTTCCTTGCGATTAAGGGTTACTTCGTCATGGGCTTTCTTTTAGGGGGTACGCTGCAAGCTCACAGAATCTGATGTTTTACACTTTTGCCTCTGCGTTTACTTGTTACCAACCGTGATACGCGTTTAAGTCGTAGCCCAGTTTTTTTCTTACTGAGCAGCCCCCTGATACACAAATTTTTCTCAAGCTTTTTGACTCGACGATCCAACCCAAACTTTTCAGCTGCTGCCAGTTAATCACTGCGATTTGCTCCAAGGCTTGCGGTGGCCCAGACCCAGTGATTACAACAAATGCACAGAACCCTATCTAAGATGAGAAGATGTTGACTGGTAAAGTGACTTGCCGTTGTTTTGTCACTCCTGTCTGTATAATTTGGCACGGTTCATGGTTTCTCAAAGCACCCAGTCCACCACCCTAAACTGCTCTCGTTACCTTATTCATTTCGATTCCAAATATGTCACTAGCGCGATGCTTCGGTCTATAGGCTATGTCTTCTCTGACTTCAGCATCGATTGTTTTACTTATGCAGTTGAAACTTTATGATGGATTGCTTACCGGCCTATGAAATGACAACTTTCAGCGTCTTTTGCAGTTTGTCACACATATAGCTCGTTCAGAGCGTACACAATGTCACTTGGTCTTAGGTTTCGCCCTATAGTACTGAGACATCGTTTTCACTCGCGATATTGTTACCACCATTCATATTGCTGTTAGTGTATATCCGGCACTGGGAGCAGGAGGCAGCTGATGACTGCTGGACCTGGTTGTCGCACCGTACATTTGATGCGTCAGGCCAAGTGGTGGCATGGTTTAGCTTCCCTCTTTTTCAGTGTTTGCTTGCTACGGCTGCTGACATCTGCGCTCTGTTCTCCTGTGGCAGGTCTTTCTTCCTACTGGTCCAACCCAGGCGTGGTTGCAAGCGAAGATGTGGGTCAACCTTGCGGACGCTTGTCATCACATGGTAGTTGGGCGGTTACTTACCCATCTTATCTTGGAGTCTATTTACGTGTCCATGCGACGCAATGTGGCTCAGGCGCATCCGATTTACCAGCTGATGGCCCCACATTTCCGCAGCATTCTACCCGTGACAAGGTAAGTGGCGGTATTTTCTAATCCCTTGCTTTCTCCATCAGTTGTTGCAGTCGCTTCGGTTTCGCTTCTCACACTACTTCTGCCAGAGTTGACTCTCTACCATTCTCTTTGTCCCTGCTTGTATGTATCCGCCAGTTGCTTGCTCTTCTTCGAGTCTGTCCTGATGTCCTTCTATGCTTATCTCTTCATATTTGAGGTCCATGCAGGGTTGCACATGCCTCAGGCGACTTGACACCAGCCCATGTAGCTCCGGACTGAAGGATCTGATGCTCATATCATAAAACAACCTAGGCTGCGTTTGCTTTTAGGTTTTTGTTCTATTTCTTCCTAACATTACCACCAAAGTCGACCAGGCTTCTTGCTTAACATTACGTGTTTGACCTTCACGACAGTTTTCTATTTGTTGGATAGAATGTTGAAGGACTGGATCTTCGATAATGGCTGGATCGCCCGAAATATTCAGCTCTCCCGGAAGGGAGTCAAGCAGCTGCTGAAACGTGCCTTCAAACGGTGGCGCTTTGATGTACAAGGGAATATTTATCGCGAACTCGAATCTCGTGGTGTAAGTGTTCTTACTTTCACGCGCTTCACACGTTTTTCAGCTCTCACCCCTGTTGTGTGTGTGTGGCCTTCTGCTACCGTTTGAAGATAATCGAATTCTGTTTGTCCAAGCGGAATCTACCTTTTCCTCTTATTTCGATTCACGCAATTTTTCTGCTACTGCTCTCACACATACCAAACTTGATTTATGGAGGGTTCCCACTAATGGTCGTGCTTTGAGCCATTTTGTAGCAGTTGTAGCTTCTTGCTTTCTACTATTCAGTCTATCTAATCTTCCAATTGGTTCAATCAAGTTACTTAACTAATAAACAGATAGCTCCTCACTGGCGGTTGATCTCAATCTAGTGACTTCCATGAGCAGCGTAACCACAGCTTAAATTTTGGGACTTTTCACTGTTCCATTTATTTCTGGTTTCAGAAAAGCGGCAATACGCCGATATGCAGTACCGACGCTTCGCTGCTGCGCAAGTACCAATACGCGCGTGGGCTAAGGATACTGCGAGGGTCTCTACGCAGGCTCGAACCCGTCCCCTCGAATTACAAGGCAGGCTTGTGATCCCCAAGGCCACATGCCGGCTCACTTCTGCTTTGCTATGCTGTCACCCACAGTAACCGGAAAATCAGCTGTCTCAGATCAGGAGTACATTACTTTCGGATCCACCTAAAGTTGTTTGACAGCTTGCACCACGGTTTGTGTGTGTGCATTTATTTCCGCCCAACCTGAGTTCTCAGGTCTTTCCGCTTAAGCGACTAGTTTGGAAGCCTAAAACATATCGATACCGGTTATGTTGAAGCCGGATTTTGAGCTGACTCGACTGTCGAATCTGCTTTCTCACCTGCACAGACAAACCTTATATCGCGATGGGTCCATCCATCTTGATTAACGTCAATGAAAAAGCACAGGCAAAGCTAGACGAAAGTAATACTCTAGGAATGGACAAGAGACTGATGCCATAGTTAGCGTGTAGTTCGCAGTCAAAAACAAGAGGATGAATGTGATTACTGCGAATCATCAACGTACGGGGCAATTTCTCTAAACAGTAACCTCATTGGCTTAAGGGTAGAGGTCCCAACTAACATCCCGATTGTCCAGGGTTTGAAGCATACCATCTCTACCTGATGATGTCAAACAAAGTCGAAACGCGTCGGGGAGTGCAGTGTTTTCGAGCGGACAACACCCACTTTTCATCTGTTTCATCAGCTACGGCACTAGTGATGAAATTAACCGAAGTTCATTTCAGTGTCAATCATGGTCTACATTGATATCGCACGTCGCAATCGAATCGCACAACGTGTACTTCAATATGACTCTCCAATCATTGACGTCATATTTTTTAGTTCCAGACTTTCGTCGCAGTGGATGGACGATTCGTATCTTTCTCTTGGCCATCATTCTGACTGAATCGCAGATTAAAATCATGTTTAGGCATACTTTAGACAAGGTATTAACGGGAAGAACTGACGACCCGAAACCCACTCGTTACTTTATTGACCTATACGAAAATCTTCGGTAGCTCATGTGATGGTAGTAGCGGATCAGAGTGAGCAGGTGGACCAACCGAGCGAGCCAGACAGCCAATGGGAGGCGGACCTGACAGCTTCGATTACTGGACTCGCATTGGCCGATATTCGTGTGAGTGATTCACCGTTTGTTTTACGGAAGCAAAGGAGCAACCTCATCGATTCTGAAGGGTCGTTAGTTACGGCCTTGCACCTGCAATTTATGTCGAGGAGTTTGGCTTGCTAAACATGCTGTACTTTTCACTTAGCTGTCTTTACCTAATAAACGCTTGTCCCTGAAGGACTGAGTTCTAAAACAGCTCACACGCTCGCTATGGATATTTGTCTCCTCGTTTCCTGGTTATTGTTCGTATATTCATCTCTGAAAATACATTTTTATTGGCTGCAAGTTTATAGATCGATTCTGGAAGGATTTTTATTCCCAACTTCTGTCCACCCACGATGTGCTATGTCGATGATGATTGGATATCTTGGTTTTGACACGTTATTTTTGTTCTTCGTAGACTAGCTTTCTGGCGTTTTTGTAGGTATATAATCCCGAAGGCTTGGGGAATTATCCTTTCCGTCACGATGCCTTGCTTATTCATCGCATTCTGGAGAAATATGTTGGCAAATACGTTCGGCTTATTTACCGTAAGTTTTTCGCCTCTTTCTTTTCCTTACATGCTACTTCATTTGCTTTGTCTACCATCCTGAGTATAATCCCGGATGATTCTATTACGGTCTCTGCAAGTCCCTCGTCACTTGCTTGGTATTAGTACGATTCTCTGCATATGTGATTTTGTCGCAATGAAGTGTTGCTGTTGGAACTGGTTGATTGATTGGCCCATCACAGTACACGGCTCACTTCAATTTCCTTAATTCAATATCATTCTTTCTCGGGTTCTCTTTTTCGCGTTTCATCCCTCACCGGTCACTTCCTCTCATCTAACGCTGAATTGAGTCCGAAGCGCCATCAGCAGCGAGTCGTCTAAGATATGGGCACTAGCCACTTGTTTGTTGCTTCCTTTGTTTTCCCAAGATTCCGTAAGCACATTTGGTGGCATATTTAGGTGAATTATTTGCTTAATGGGAGTTCAATTTAATAGAATGGTATCATTTTTTGTCCTCCTGCCGGTCTACATCCCATAACATTCACTTACCAGCAGGTATCGCTGACACCCATCCATTTCGCCACCTTTCTGTACATCATCACTCCGCTCAGTCACTATTTATAGGGCACGTTTCCATTGATGCTATGCCAGCATCAGCTCCAAGTTCAGCCTTGTGGATCTGAGCTTGGGCTACGCGATTCATCTATCTACCTACCCGATCCCTAAACTTTTTCACACTTATTTCCCTTCATTACTCTGTAGGGTCATTTGTGCTATGTATGGTGTCTGCCACTTGTTCCGGTGTGTCTCCCAATCAATTTCCGTATTGGTGATCTGCCAAGTTAGTGACACATGGTTTCTCGATTAATTCATACTCTTCTCACCCAATCTAAGATTATCTCTTCCTCCTTACTCGCTTACTTGGCCGTGCACTGCGCACGGGTGCAATGTTCAGTGTCATAAGCCTGCTCATTTTAGGATACTGATGGAGGTTTATGGTTGGCGGCATCCGGTTTCGGATTTGCCTGTCACTGTGGCAAGCCACAGGGCGCCTGCGCCTACAGAGGGACCATGGGTGGCTTGCGCTGCACCACCCACAGCTCCAACCACACTCCCATATCCAGTGTAAACCCGAAGGACTAAGACCGGGAGGCATGTGGATGGGAGCCACGTTTCATCAACGGAGCCGACCCACACTCCTTCACAGGCAAACACAAGCACACTGTATTTGGGAATCAAGCGCACACAAGACGGTGGCTGGACCGTAGTCCGCTCCACACTGAGTGCATGGAACTACTCTTCGAGTCTAGCACGGGCACAAGGACTGTGCACCCCGTCCCCTCCAGCAACGACCAACTGTCTCCGGGAGCCAGTATGAACGAGGTGGTGGGTAGTAGACTGATAGACACCTTGTCAACATGCACATCAAGCGCAGCCACATCAGGGATATCAAACAACAGCCAATCACTTGAAACGGCAAAATGAAATAAAATAAATCCAATACTGCATACAGATACGGTGGCATAACTCTTCGCTAAATTAGCATATGGAGTAATTTGGTTAGCAATGAATCCGCGATAAGGAAAAAGAATGTCCACAAGTTACTCAAATCTGGTGCAAACGCAACAAAATTACCGAAGATAAGCGCAATTAGCGTAAACAACGTGGTCGGCTAATAGAAGACTATCCAGATAGGCAAAACAAACCAAATGAACTGGAATGAAATTTATGCAGCTTAAAGAGACCTAGTTTAAGTGTAAGTTGGTTTAGCCCAACTGCGGCGAAGAAGCATCAAGAATGCAACATCAGCCTCAGCATGGGGCGGAGGTTTATATATTCGTTGTAACGCGCATGTTGTCCTACTTGTTATACTCCCACTCATCACTTTCGTCTCTTCTTCTCTTGCCTTTTTTGTGTTCTGGGCCCATCTCCACTGAATTAAAGCATGACCTTGTCCTTGATGTTTGCACTAATGACAAGGACGATTGAGATGGGGTCAAGGTGGCAGAACCATTGCCTTATAAACTGAGGTGCACCAGTTCTGTCACTTTGCTGCTTCCTGAGTTCACCATGACATTTATTCAGATCGAGCACCCCCCATTGTGTTGCTGCACCTACATAACCGTTGTCATATTCTAACTTTTTCTTGTTTTCTAGCTGGAGGTACGGACGATCTTCTCCACGACGTCGAATTGCAGTCATGGCGTCATGAGATGGCTAGTCCCATGGAAGAGGGCGGGCTGGGTTTACTTGGTATTCCTGGTAGTACTTTTAAGGTCAGTTCAATTAATTCTCCATTAGTTTTACCTGTTCATTATGCTTTGCAAGTTCTTTTCACTGATTCATTGAAATCATTCCTTGATTCATTGAAAACTATTGTTTGCCTCAGACTGATGTTCTTGACGAATCACTGAGGATGTTCCACCTTTTGGAAATTAACCACCCGGATCTTTTGCTTTACAGTCGCAAAAAATCTCGCCCCATAACACAGTCCCCACTCACCCTACTCATCGTCATTTTGTGCGATACATGACTTCTTTTTTCTAATATTTTGCCATCACACGATAGTGATCAGTGGATCAACCCTAGTCAAGCGAAAGCAGAGTTAGCATTGAAGAACTTCTTAAAACGTTTAGCATTCGCTCCCTGTGGAAGCGGTTTTGCCAGCGGAACCACTTCCGTTCATCTCACTTACTTGTTCCTGATCAGTGCTTTGGAACGCACCAGGTCCAGTAGCCTGAACCGTAGTCAATAAATTAAGTAATAAAATCAAATGTTATGAACATCCATAGCTTAAGAGGAATGGACAAGAAGGTGGAACCGTCAGCTGACATGGTTAAGAGCCAAAAATGAATATAGGAATCCTATGATCCTGTGAATCACTGCGTATCTAAGGGTTTCTAACTACTAAACAGGCCCATCTTGAAGCACCTATCCTAAGGTACGGCACGTTTATTCCCTATTCGGCTCTCTGGTCGGCCCTCTTGTACTCTTATGCTATCCTATATTAACTGGCCGTCTCGGGATTCCGCACATTGTGAGTTAATAGTGCGTATCAAGACAACTCGATTCAGACGGTCGGTTGTCAACCCGCAGACAGTCATCCGGTGCATCTTGTCCTAGAGAAGCGATACTTTACAGGCACTAGTGGTCAGGTACACAACCACAGTTCCGATTCACAAATATTCATTGCTTGTGTGTGTGTTTCCACGAGTGATAAAGGCTTTACAAAGTCTCACCAGGTTGCTGTGACTTGCATTAGCCACTTCGATGGTTTGATCGGCAGAGGGCATACAGCTCCTCAGACGATCAGGACGATCGATCACCCCGGGCTGTTGTTCTGTGATGAGGAAAGTGGCGCGGTATGTTGACCCAGTCTAACCATCTTGCACCGGCGTGCTCCATCTATAGTTGGGAGCGATTTGTTTGAGTAAAGTCCACGGTAGTCGGTTGTTGTCCAATGGCCGTCCTGTGACTGGTTGCGACATTTTGTTTTAGAAAGCTGTGACGCTTATCTAGTGCTTGCGGTCAGCACACAGCTAACTGCGATAATCACCGATTTCAAATTGACGGTGTTTGCCACCCGGCTTCAGGATTCCTATCACCCGCCCCCATCGCAACACCTGTACTTGCGTAGCGAAAGAGAGCTACTGATAGAATCCGTATTCGGCGACCTATGGGCTACAGGCTTGTTGGCTTCGGTAGAGCCTCGAACTGAATTAGCACATATGCGTGGAATCCGTTCCACGAGAATTGTACCCATGCATCTGTCCAGCGGTAATTCACGATTGTGGGAGAGGTGGGGCATTTTGATTCCATCGTTAAAACCTGATTCTGCTAAGTGCGGATATATTAGGGCGCTGTTGTGTGCTTGTTTTGGTTGCACGGTATGCGTTGACTTTAAAGAGGTGTAAGGTCACAGCGAATGTTACCTGCTCACCAATTCGACTCAGTGTGCGGACCTTCAAAACTTAAAGGGAAGTGGCGCCCTCACTTTGAAGAATAACCCGGCTTCATTGTTAGTGTGATTGTTGAAGTTAGTTGCAATCTGTTGCTGGTTAGCATGCGGAGAGAGCTCGTGCAAGGAAGAGAGCTAAGGTGCGGGACAGGTCGAGTAAGTAAATAAATGCACCAGAGGCTATACCTACTGACGATGACGTCTTCTGAGCGGTTTTTACTGCCTGGTTGCTCACAACGTGAATGGTGCGTTCGAGGGCGCGCATTTTCCGTCTGATTACATATCAGCCAACTCACACAAGAGGGGTGCGCGATTTCCTCTGGGGACTGTGATAGCGGACTCTGCTAGAACTGTTTTATACCTCCCGCCTAGAGTGTTGGAGGATTTACATCCATTTGTTTACTTTCTTTACTCATAACGGACTTTACACCTGCGACCGGGGGTAACTGTAGTTCAATTTGACTGCTTTTTTTACTGGCCATCGGGTGCGGAGGGCGGTAACAAATCAGTATGCATTGGTTGCGCTCTTTTATCGTCATAGAAAACTTGTGGCGCGCTTTCTCTGTGCTACGGTGTCCGTACTCTTATCCATAAGTTTTGGTTGCCGTCGCAATGAGACGGACCCTAGCGTGGTGCGACGATTTGCGTGCATGGTTGTTACGTGTTCAACCAATGATCGCTCACTATGACCGTGAACCTGATTGGCCCTACACACACACGTAGATAAGCACGCACACACGCACTCAAGGACACACCCTAACGTTCCGTGCTCTCATGTAAACCGTTAAGTGTTCAGTACACTGTGCGCCAGACTGACGCGTCTTCTTACTTATTCGCTACGAGTTGAAATACGTACTTGCGGTTAGAGTCCAGTTGTGATATCTGGCGACGGAGGTCAACATGTCCATGACAAATACTCCACCGGTCTTCTGGTCGTGCTCTACCGACAAACCTTCCCTGGACTCGTGGCATAGATGGCGGAAAACCTTTACGGATTACTTGGAATTGCTTCCAATCTTGAATCCAGCAGTATCTCTTACTGATAAAAACAAAGTGAAGCTCTTGAGACAGTTTCTTGGAGATGAGGGTCAAAGGTATTTCGATGCACTTCGTATTGATCAAATCTCTTCTACGATAACCGGCGCTTTGGAAACCTTCAGTGCTCTTTGGGGTGCACGTCAGAATGTTTTTACGGCTAGATACTACTTCTCGAAACTCTGCCAGAAACCAGATGAGAGTGTGAACGAGTTCATCGCTCGTGTACCACAAGCAGCACCTGATTGTAAATACAATGAAGTCGATCCAACGAGATTTGAAGAGACCATGTTACTCCAATGTTTGATAGCCGGAATCTCAGACCAGAGCACGCGGGAGAAGCTCCTTTCACCAGATGATTGTTCACTGACCTGGGAGACGGCCTGCTCGATTGCCCGGCGGAGAGAACACCTTACACAACAACTCGCAACATTTACGCTGAAGGACTCGTCAGATGAGCTGCGATTGATTAACACTACACCAAAACCAAAGCCACCCACTGGCGTCAATTTGTTTGTGTGCTATCGTTGTGGTGAGCAGCACAGTTGTCCATCCGACTGCCGGCATCAGAAGACAGTATGTCGAAGCTGCGGGAAGGTGGGCCACCTGGCGCGAGTGTGTAGATCGGACAAGCGACGTTCAGGTGGAGCTTATCGAGGAGCAAACCCCATCAAATCTGTGGACGAATCTGATGGTAGCGACCCTGAATTACATTCCATTTGGCTTAATTCCGTTTCTAGCATGCAGCCGGCGCCATACACTCTAGAGCTTTACATTGAAGGACGAAAGGTACAGATGGAAATCGATACAGGAGCATCCGTGACGATAATCCGGGAAAACGCTGTAAAAACGCTCCCGAACTTATCCGCTTGCAATTCTGTTCTTCGCACATACACCGGTGAACCTATACGTGTCCTTGGTAAATGCTTCGTGAAGGCACAGTATGGCGACAAAATACGCACACTTCCTGTATATGTGATCCCCGGGGATCGTCCAAATCTGCTTGGAAGAGACTGGATACTTGCTTTCCCGGATACAATGAATGTGGTAAAATTAGTCACCGAGATCTCCGGACTTGAAACATTACTTAAACAACATTCAGCTGTTTTTTCCGAGGAGCTTGGGAAGTTGAAAGAATTTCAGGCTGCGATAAAACTAAAGGAAGGCGCTCGACCAAAATTCATTAAGGCGCGCACACTACCATACGCTATGAGGCCTAAAGTTGAAGAGGAACTAAACCGCCTACAGACTCAAGGTATTATTACTCCTGTACACTTTTCTGACTGGGGAACTCCAATTGTGCCAGTAACCAAACCGGACGGCTCCGTACGGATTTGTGGTTACTACAAGATAACCATAAATCAAGCATCCATGCTGGTCAGGTACCCCTTGCCACGTATTGATGACTTGTATGCAACACTAGCTGGTGGTGAAAAGTTTACCAAACTCGATCTGAGTCATACATACTCGCAGATAGAGCTCGATGAACCTTCGAGGAAACTTACTACCATCACCACGCACATGGGACTATTTCAATATACTCGTTTACCTTTTGGAATTAATTCCGCCTCCGGAATATTTCAGAGAATTATTGACGACCTAGTGAAGGACATTCCTTTTGCGTGTGCTTATCTGGATGATATTCTTATCTCTGGACGCTCGGATACAGAGCATCTTCGAACACTCGCGGTCGTGCTCGAGCGTTTGGAGCGAAGTGGATTCAGATTGAAAAGGTCTAAATGTGAGTTCCTTTCACTTTCCGTTTGTTACCTTGGATACCGGCTTGATAAACACGGTTTACATGTTTTAAACGACAAGGTTAAACCTATTTTAGAAAGCCAAGAGCCAAAGAGTTGTGATGAACTCCGTTCGTTCTTAGGAATGCCATCTCACTATCGCCGTTTCCTGCCTAATGCATCGACGGTTCTATCGGCATTAAATGAGCTGTTACACAAAAATGCATCGTGGTGTTGGGGTTCCCGTCAAAAAATGCCTTCAATAAAGCAAAACAAACTCTTGCTTCGCCACCAACGTTAGTCCATTATGACTCTAACAAGCCACACATACTTCAGTGCGACGCGTCCCCTTGGGGGGTCGGGGCTGTCCTGTGCCACCGCATAGACGATGGTTCTTTGCGTCCCATAGCATATGCATCGCGCACCTTACAGACGGTGGAGAAGAACTACTCACAACTGGACAGGGAAGCGCTAGCCGTTATCTTCGGAGTTAAGAGGTTTCACCAGTATTTATGGGGAAAAGTTTTCGAGCTTCATACAGACCACA